CCATCTCCTAAGTTCCCGCTCTGTTCCAGGCATCCTGTCTAAGTTCTTTGCCCATGTTGAGTCTTTATAACACCCCTGTAGGTGCTGTGCCTATTTTACAGACGAGGAACTCAAGGTCCAGAAAGACTGTGAACTCACATGACAGGAAGCGACAGAGCCAGGATTTGAACCCACCTCTGCTGATTCCGGAGCTCAGGCCTTGGCCACTCTGCTACCCTGCCCCATAAACACTGTTGCTGGAAGGAGTGTCCCATGAGATAGCACCAGCTGTCACTAAAATGACTTACTATTGCTTTTCTAATGTTGAAAATAGTTGTTTTTGCAAATCAGATTGGAATGTGAATCTCACCCTGGCTGTGACTGGAATCACCTGGGGGTTTTGAAAACCCACTGATGTTTAGGCCTCCTGCCGACCAGTTAAACCAGAATGTCTGTGGGTGGGGCCTGGGCTTCCCAGGGCTGAGAACCACTTACGTTGGATGACCTTTAAGATTCTTTCCAGGGACTTCCCTGGTGGTGCAGTGATTAAGAATCCGCCTGCTAATGCAGGGGACATAGGTTCGAGCCCTGGTCTGGGAAGATCCCACATGCCACAGAGCAACTAGGCCTGTGTGCCACAACTACTGAGCCTGTGCTCTAGAGCCTGCGAGCCACAACTAGTGAGCCTGCGTGCCCCAGCTACTGGAAACAGCGTGCCTAGAGCCAATGCTCCGCAACAAAGAGAAGCCACCACAATGAGAAGCCTGTGCACTGCAACGAAGAGTAGCCCCCGCTCACCGCAACTAGAGAAAGCCTGCATGGAGCCGCGAAGACCCAACGCAGCCAAAAATAAATAAATTTATTAAAAAAAAAAAAAAAAGATTCTTTCCAGCTTTCTAGTTCCACAGTGCAAGGAAGGTATGCTGCCATCAGGTGGCAGTAACAGGCCACAGCTCCATGATCTAATTGACAAGTTTTGGTCTGAAGAGATAAGTGCACTTTTCTTCAGTTTTATACCCAAACGAAATCCCTTGTTGAACATACAAATGTAATAATAACTGATAAAGATGTTAAAGTTTTAAGGGCCACTTCTAAAAGCAATTAGCCAATGTGGTATACTTTGATATCTTTCTCACAAATGGTTAGCTAACCTTTATCATGGAACTAAGGGTCTGGAGCCAAGAATCTCTTCTGTGTTTGGATTTTAGTTATTAGACTTGGTGACCATTGAAATATCCAGTTGTCCTTATGTCATTACTATGATTTTTCCTTAAAGCTCAGCTTTGCCCTGCACAGGGAGCGTTGGGCCAAGTTTGACCATCTCTGCTCAAACATCTTCTATTTGGTCTTGTCTACGTAGCAGAAATAGAAGCGTGAGAGCCATTTTATTTAGTCCCTGGTGGATTTTCCCTATCTGCATGGAGGTATGTTCTCAGAGAGTTACTTTTAGGACCTAGTAGCTCTGCACAGTGGGAATGGCTAGCTGCAAATGGGAATAGATAGCTGGAAAAACTTTAGGGCATGGAGTTTGGGGTCTATGTACTGGGTTGAGTCCATCACTTACTGGCTATGTGGTCTTGGGCAAGTCATTGAAAGCTCAGAGCCTCAGTTTGCTTGTCTCTAAAATGGGGATTCTCAGAACTACATTGTAGGTTGTTGTGGAATTAAAGAGAAAGTAAACACACTTTTACAATAAAACTACTCAACAAACTAGAAATAGAAGAGAACTTCCCCAACCCGATAAAGAGTATCTATGAAAAAGAATACAGTTAACATCATACTTGTGGTACAAGAATGAATTCTTTCCCTTTCATATCAGGAACAAGACAAGGATGCCTGTTCTTGCCACTTCTATTCAACATTATACTGGAGGTTTTGGCCAGAGCAATCAGTCAAGAAAAAGAAATAAATGACATCGAGATTAAAAGGAAAAAGTGAAACTATATCTGTTTGTAGATTACATGATCTTGTATATAGTAAATCCTAAGAATCCACTAAAAACTATCAGAACTAATAAATGAATTCAGCAGGATTTCAGGGTACAAGGTCAGAGCAAAAGCCCATAAAATATTTTAATTTCTTTCAGAATCAGAATTAAAAAAACCTTTTAGGTGAAGAAAAATTTTAATATATAATGTTAATATATTAATCTTTAACCAATGCATTTGTAAAATTCAATTTTTTTAAATTAATTTATTTTTTTTTGCGGTACGCAGGCCTCTCACTGTTGTGGCCTCTCCCGTTGCGGAGCACAGGCTCCGGACGCACAGGCTCAGTGGCCATGGCTCATGGACCCAGCCGCTCTGCGGCATGTGGGATCTTCCCGGACTGGGGCACGAACCCGTGTCCCCTGCATCGGCAGGCGGACTCTCAACCACTGCGCCACCAGGGAAGCCCCCTAAAATACAATTTTTAATTTAATTTGTCTTTATTGAGGAAGAGACTCCAAAGGCAAAAGAGCCTAGGGTCCACAAAAGTCTTAATGGGGCCCTGGCTGCTGGTCTGAATTTAGCCATTAAAATTTTCCCTCTCTAGCTCTGAGAAAACAATATAACATAAAGAAAGTTTAAGATGATGCATTCAAAATCCATCCATTCTTAGCACACTACCTATTCCCATTTTAAAAAATCCTCTTCTGGTTCTTGGCTGTCAGCAAACATCTCTTTATAATCTCGGTACCATTGACTCACTGTGTGGTCCTGGCTGATCACTCAGTGGCCCTGAGCCTTTTCTATAAAGGAAGGAGAGGGTCCTACATCTCAGTATAGAGCCTGGGGAGGAAGCAAGCATGATGGAATCACAGGAGCGGCATCCATCCACCTGTGGCCTCATGATTCTTTGGAAGGGGTGACATATATAAGAGAGGAATCCACTCCTTAACTCAGCACTTGAGACCCTTCGTGATCTGGCCCCAGCCTTCCTTCTCAGCCTCATCTCTCACCACTCCCTGATATCTGCCTTTGCATTTGTATGGGGCTGGAAGGAGGTTCAGGAGCCCAAACGGGCTTCAAGGGACCTTCTTAGAGGAAAACTTAGGAAGCTTCAAGCAGACACAAGAATTGAGAATGCTGGAATCTTCCAGATTCTTTTCATCCCCAACCTACATTGACTCCATTTGGACTCAAAGCCTATCTCCTTGTTGGGCTTATCAGTGAAATCTATCTCTTGCTGCTATGCTCAGTAGTAAAACCCTTGAACTAGGAAGTTGCAAGCTCACCCTAAAGGTGAGCGAATCTAGTGTCTCAGGGACCAGTGAGGTCTAAGGTCTAGGGGTAAAGCAACAGGGTGTGGTGGGGACTGTGGCAAAGTATAGAGCACGTGTCCCATCTGAGAAAGGACCTTAAGGCTAGGTCACATCTTGCTCTCACTGTGTCCTTGATGGCCAGCATAGGGCCTGGCATCAAGGAGGCTGGGAGGAAAGACTGAAGAGTTGAAGTTTCTTATAGGCATAAGGTTTGGGTGGAAGGCATTCGTTTGTTCATTCATTCATTTACTCATTCGTATACCCCTTCAATAAATATTTATTGAGCACTCTCTATGTACCAGGCAGTGTTCTAGGTGCTAGGGGTCCAGCGGGAAGAGAGATGGGGAGAGTCAGGGAAAAGGTGTTTGGAATATTAAATAGACTAGTTAGTTACCTTCCTGAGAAGGTAAAACTTGGGGAAAGTGATAAAGGAGAGGAAGGGCAAACCATTCAGCTATCTGGGGGAGGGATGCTCCAGGGAGAAGTAACAGCACGTGCAAAGGTCCTGAGGCAGGAATGTGGCTGGCACATTTAAGGATCAGCAAGGAGGCCAGTGTGCCTGGAGTGGAGTGAGCAAGGGGCAAGCCAGTAGGAAGTAAGGTCAGGGAGGTGTTGGGGGCACAGATCACACAGGGCCTTATAGGCCATGGTAAGGACTTAGGTTCTGACTCTGAGTGAATTGAGAACCGTGGGAAAGTTCTGAGAGGAGACGTAATCCATCTTAGGTTATAACAGGACCCTTCTGGTGACTGTGTGGATAAGGGCAGAAACAGGGAGACCCATGCAGAGGCTACTGCGGTAATCCAGGAGGAGATGATGGGGCTGGGACCAGAGGAGGTGGTGAAAAGTAGTTGGATTCTAAGTATATTGGGAAGCTGGACCTGCAGATCAGATGGGGAGGTGTGAGAGAAAGAGAGAAACAAAGGATGATATCAAGGTTCTGGCCTGAGCATCTGGGAGGATGGAGGTACCATTTTCTGAGCTGGGGATGAATTGAAGATGTGGTACCTGCCTTCACGGGGCTTCCACTTCCAGCTTGTGAACCATCCGAGAATCACACACAAAATGATAAGAGTTATAAGGTGACTAGCTGCCACCTAGGAGAAGGCCATGGTGCCATGAGAGCTTCTAATAGGGAGGAAGTGTGTTCCCAGTCGGGGGGTGGGGGAAGGGAACACGAAGAGTATAGGAGCTGAGAGGAGGGGAGGGGAGGAGGGGTGGGGGGTGTGTGGATGGAGAGGCCGGTGGAGGCCAGTCCTGGATCCATGTGAAAGAATTTGGGCTTTATTTTGGGATAAAGTGTTTTGAGCAGGAGTGTGCGTACTTGCGTGTGTGCATCTGATGTAATCAGAGCTGTGTGGTTTGAAAATATCCCTCCAGCTGCAGTGTGGAGAGTGGATCCGACAGAAGCCAGAGTGGAGGTCCAGGGAGCCCAGTGACAGCTTCTGCCCTCGTCCTGCTGGGCCTGGACGGGGTGGAGTCCATGGAAAGGGCAGGAGGGCTTTGAGGAGGTGGGAGTGACAGGGCTGGATGGATTGGACTGGGAGGTGACGGAAGGAGGCATCATGGGGACTTGTGGCTTCGCCATCCACATTCCTCAGGACGTTGGCTTTCTGGGAATTAGGGTTTAGAGAAAGATGCTGCTCAGGTTAGAGATGTTTGGGCCCTGCTACCCCCAGATCCGTACAGGGCTCGTGGGAGGGGGAGAGGCAGAAGCCTGAAGCTCTCACTTCCTTTCATATTCTGAAAACCTTTCTTTCTTTCTTTTTTTTCAAAGGTGAAAAATGCCGCAGCTTCATTGACCTGGCCCCAGCATCAGAGAAAGGTAAGTGTGGCCCCAGCTCAGGTGTGCCAACCTTGCCCTCTCCAGGGACACTTCCCGAAGCCCTGATCCTGTCCTTCAGCATCCCTGGGTGATGGTGCCCCGGGGGCCAGAATCCTGTTGCAAAGCTCTGAGTTCCTTGAGCGGTTAGTGCAGGGGGAGAGGCAGGTGGAGGGACGTCATCTTGCCCTCCCCGCCCCCAAGTGAGATGGTTCTGAGAGCCATTACACTTCCCTTACTTCCAGTGCGTGCTGGAACTTTGGGGGAGGTAGGCTGGGCGTGCGGAAGTTGGGATCAGGCAAGACCAGTGTTGGCATTGCTTCCGAGTGTAGGATTTGACCTTGGGGGAGGGATCCAGACGTTCTGTCTGTGTCGTCTCACAGGTGTGGGGAGGTCCAGCCTGATCGGGCACTGCCATTCAGGAAGGACCCATTGGTGTGCAGGGCTTGACAGCAGAGATTCTGAGCCCAGTGATGCCCAGATATGATAGGATGGGGCTGCAGCTCGTGTAGGGGGCAGAGCCGTCAGAATTAGGTTTAGCTGCAAGTAATGGCGGCCCCAAGTAACTGGCTTCAGTGGAGAAATGTATTGATTCCTTTTAAAAGTTTCAAATCTAGAGTGGCTCTGCTTCATGCGGTCTTCAGGATCCAGGGGCCTCTCCATCATCCCTGTGGCCTTTGTCCTCATGAACTAACAGGATGGCTAGAGCTACAGCCGTCACATCTGCACTCCAGGCAACAGGGTAGAGGAAGGGCAAAGAAGAAAGGGCAAAGGTTGCATGTCAACAGTAAGGTTCCCAGAAGTTGCCCCATGACATGGGCTTATATCCCCTTGGCCAGAACTTGATCACAGCTGCAAGGGAGGCTGGGAAATGAGGTCTTTATCCTGGCAACCATGTGCTCAGCTGAAAGGCAGGGGTTTTATCATTATGAAAGAACAGGAGAATGGATACTGGGGGATGCGCTGCCACAGGAGCGTAGGGCACGGCCACCTCCCTACTTCCCTACCCTGCCACCAAGGAGAACCCTTGCCAAGAGAGAACAGGTGTGCAGGTCTCTTCAGACAGCCTGGAGATTAGGAGAGGGCTCTGGTCCTGGGAGTCGGGGTGGGGAAACTGAGACAAGAGTTCAGTCCTAAACTGTCCCGACATGGGGGGCCTTGGTGGGCCAAGGCTCAGGGGAAATTCTTACATCCAGTATGTGCGGTCACCCACGCCCCCTGCTGGTGGGGCTGAGTTTGCAGTTTCCCTGCAGTGTCAGGAGGTTCAAGGGCCTGAAATGCCCCGTCTCTGACCCCTCCAGGGTGTTGGGAGAGGCGGGACAGGCAAGGGGGCTGCGTGTCTTTGAGGCTGGTGACGTTCCTGTCTCACAGACGCTGTCCCCTTGAAGAGCTCCATCCAAGTGGCAGCTGGTGAGACTGAGGGGCATGTGACAGGGAGCCCATAGTGCTCTCGGGTCCAGGAAGAGGCTGGGCTCCCCCTCTGAGCAAGCTTTTTGCAGTGGGGACTACCTCCTCTGTTTCCTCTGCTTCCCAGTGACGATGCCCTGTTTCGTGGCTACTTGTGGCCATCCCTGAAGTTTCGAGCTGAGCAACTCGGGCCACAGCTTCCAAACTGAGTTCTTCAGAAAATACTATAGCTGCTAATAAATGGCTGATATTTACTGAGCAGGTACAATGTGTCAGGCACTGGGCCAAGCACTTTAAATGTATCAACTGAGAAACCTCCCCACAACCTTGCTAAGAAGGGGCTGACATTCTCACCCACTTGACAGATGAGAAAACTGAACCTTAGAGACATTAAGCCACTCACCTCTCACATCTCATAAGGAGCAGAGCCTGTGCTCCATACCCCTCTGTTGTACTGCATCTGAGAAGCCAGTACCTGTAGGCAACCTCTACAATGCTCATCCCATAATCCCCAAGGCCTTGGAGTTCCTGGGTCACCTCTGCTCCAAATCTGGCTTCCGGGAAGCTGGGCCTGTGTGTGCATATGTAAATGTGTGTGCATGTCTGGTTGAGGGCGAGGATATGCATGCATGGGCAGGTGCTTCTCTGAGAGTGTGCACATGGGTCTCGTGTGTGTGCCTGCATGCACACTTGTGGGTGAGTGTGGGCACGGAGGCATGTACACATGTGTGGACGTATGAGCATGTGGATGTGTGCACATGCGTGTGTGTGTCCACATACAGTGTGGACTGTATGGTGGCTTATTCCTGCCTCGTGTATGAGGACCGAGGCCCCAGATGGGTTGTATCTTTGTGTTTTACTGGCCTCGTGATTTTACTTTCAGGGCTTGGTGGCCACGCCGAAGACCTTCTGGCTGTACATATAAAAATGTTTATAAGAAGCCTGAGTGGGCTGGCTTTGCAGACCAGTTTTCATGGGCTCACTGCCTCTCAAGCACTTAGGCTCACCTTTGGGGCTGGCGGGGTTTGGTCAGGCAGCTCTGTTTCCTGTTCCTGAACCTCCCGGCCCAGTCCTCCCAGGGGCACCTGCAGGAGCCTAGTGTCCCCGGACCCCTCCATGTGCTCGCCGAGTCCTCTCCACGCTGTCTGTTTCACAGATGAGGACCCCAGGCTGCAGAGAGAGGGGGACTGGTTCAGGGTCACACAGGGAGTCCGGGCCGATATTGGAGCCCAGATATGTTCTCTCCCAAAGAACACTCTTCTCCCACATTCTGGCTGCACCCACTCCCGCTGTGACTTCCTTCCTGCTCTGCAAAATCTGATCATAATAATTAGTATTAGGTGACACTAACACAAACTGGCTTTCATGCTGTGCTTACCACGTGCCAGGTGCTGTTCTGAGAACTTTATACCTGGTGGCTCATTTAATCCCCATTTTACAGATGAGGAGACTGAGGCCTAGAGAGTTAATTGACTTGCCCAAAGCCACACAGTTAAGTTGCTGGGACTTAAAACTGAGCTGTCTGGCTCTTAAATGCCTGGTTCTTCTGCTGAAAAGCTAGGCCTTCCGAGCCTCTCTCTCTCTCTCTGTGTGTGTGTGTTTGTGAGTGAGTAATTGAGGCCCTTCTGAAATGGGCCCCGTCTTTGCCATTTTCTCCAATACCCTCTGTCCTTTCCTCCCTACCCTCTCCCCTGGCAAAATGCGTGTCTGTCATCAGTGTTTTCACCATGGCATATTTTTGTTAGTTCTCCTGATCATTCTAGCTTTGTGCTTCACGTGGGAAATATCTTTTCATTTTAAACTAGCTTAAGCCACAACCATTTTTCATCTGGATTCCTGCCACAGTCTCTCAACTGGTTATGTCCTTCCATTTTTGACCCCTGCTTCACTGGTGGCCAGAATGATCCTGTTAAAGCATCAATCATCTCACGTGGCTCCCTGTTTAAAACCCTCCCTTGGCTCCCATCTCATTCAGAGTAAAATTCAGTGTCCTCATCTTGGCCTGTAAGGTCTGGGGGATCTGGCCCTGTACATCCGGGATCTCATCTCCTGTAATCTCCCCTCCCTCACCAAACTTCAGGTCTCGAAAATCTTTACTGTTCCTTGAGTCAGCCAAGCTAGTGTGTGCCTTGGCACTTGCTGTTTCCTGCTCCTGGAACACTGTTCTCTCAGCTCCCTGCACAGCTGGTCCCTTCTCATCACTCAAACGTCACATCTTCAGGGCAGCCTTCCTTGAACATCCTTAGAGCAGCCCTTCCTCCTGCCAAGTCCTTCTCCACTCTCTTCAATGCTTAGTTGTCTTTACATCACATAAGAAATGTACTCAGTGCTTCTTTGATTAACAGTGGTCTCCCCTAAAAGAATGTCAGCTCCATGAGGGCAGGGATTTTTGTCTTGTTTGTGACTCACTGTATCCCCAGGGCCCAAAGCAATGCCTGGCAGTGTTGAATTAATGAAAAATGAACATTGATTTTTAACTGTATACACTCTTGTTATAGAAATTATAACAATTTTTAAATGTGTAAATGAGAAATGAAAGTCTCTTATAAGCCCGCCCTTAGATATTCACTGGTAATGGTTTGGTTTATTAGTCCCTGAAGAAAGTTAGAAGGATGAAAGATAGATAGATAGGTAGATAGATAAATACACACACATACGTATATACACATATATACTTATACACCTGTATAAAATCATAGATTGCTTTTTATATCAATACATAGAACTCACTTATCTTTTGGAACAGCTGTATAATAGCCCATCACATAGAAACAATTTATTTAACCAAGCCCTATCACTGGACATTCAGATTATGTCCCCAGTACACTTTGAGAATCTTGTATCACAGCTGAGTAATAGTAACGTGTACACATATCTTTCTCCCTCACGAGAATGGGGCCCTCCGAGCAGTGGTTTCTTATTTACCTCTGGGTCTCCAGGGCCCAGCCCAGCACTGGAGCCCTACTGGCAGAGCAGAGTAATAAATTCTCTGACAGAGATCTGCCCAGCAGGACATGAGAGGCAGAGAAGGAGGAATGAATCAAGGACGCTTGAGCAGTTTGTGAAGATGAAATGTGCAAATGCAGATAAACAGCAACGTCTGTGTATTGTGAACTTGTTACTGAAAATGCAGAGGAAAAGCTTCTTCTGCTTCGTAATCTTCCTCTTCAAGCTTTCCCTTGTCTCTCCAAATCGCAACCTCTTATCCCCTGGGGCCAGATTCTCCTACCAAATAATTGTGACCAACTGGATACTTTTCAAACCTAGTGTATTGGTCAGCAATAGTCACTATAATGCTGTGTAACAAGCCATCCCCAAACTCAGTGGCACTCGGCATGTATTTTTTTGCTTGCATGTCTGTGGGTTGACTTAGGTTTAGCTGATGTAGGCTGTCTTGGTTCCAGGCTGCAGACTGGGCTCAAGTCCGCTCCCTGTGTATTCTTTTGGGGGGCCAAAGAGAGGGGACAGAAATGCAAGGTGGCTAACTGCACAAGTACATTAAAAAAAAAAAATTATTCCTTTTTTTTTTTTGGCTGCACTGTGCAGCATGCAGGATCTTAGTACCCCGACCGGGGATTGCACCCATGACCCCTGCC